CTGTCTCCAGAGAAAGGTCCTATACCCATGTGTATACAATTAGGAAGCACTAATTGAACTCAGTGAATTACAAAAGAAAAAAATTTAAAAAGGCATGAAGTTGGGAGGGGAGCAAAGTGGAAGGGGTCTAAAAGGAGCTAAGAGGGGGCAGTGCTGTCTAGGTATGATCAAAATACATTGTATGGAGCTGCAAGATGGCTCAGAGGTGAAGAGCACTGACTGCTCTTCCAGAGGTCCTGAGTTCAATTCCCAGCAACCACATGGTGGCTCACAACCATCCGTTATGAGAAATGGTGCCCTCTTCTGGTGTGCAGATATACATGGAAGCAGAATGTTGTATACATAATAAATAAATAAATAAAATCTTTAAAAAAAAAACCTTCTACTGTAGCCAGCCCCTATTGCTTAGACACCTCTTTCAGATGACTTTAGGGTTTAGTTAAAATAGATAGTTAGGATGTGACATAAGCAGATTGTTGTATCTTCTTATATTTCACCTTTATGATTGTTAACTTTGGATACTTTACACTGTTAAGTTTTAATCCTCTTTTAGACTAAAAGGGGAATTGTAGGGGAAGCTGTAGCCACAACTACTTAGGAGCTGGCTACAGGTGTGCCTGACCATGTTTGCTAGGGCGTGTTCAGAGTGACATAGAGTGACTGCGTTTTCTCTTTCGGTTTCACTTTGGTACTTCCTGGACAGACTGCTGCCACACCGGCTGGCTAGGTCGCTCTGTAAGTAAGGCTTTTCCCTATTAAATACCCTTATATTTCTACCTGACTCTGTATTGGTAATTTCCCTATATTGGGCCATCCTCACGGAGAAAGTAATCCATTGAAAAGGACAACCTAGCACCACCAGGCCTTGGAGTCGGACTGTCGTGGTCTAGATCTACCCCTTCTTGGTTTATATGCCCTGAAAGAGGTATCTAAGCTCTTCACACCTCTTTTTTCTGTCGCTTGAAGATGCTCAAGGAGCTACCATCCACTCTCCTAGCTACCACGCCTCCCCACCCCAGTGTAAGACTCCATCTCTCCCTATGCTCCCTTGTTGCTCTCTCTGCCCTCCAAGATTCTGGCCCATAACCCAGACAAAACTGAAAGTGGCCTGTGATTGGAGTGAAAGGCACCTGAAAATCTAGAAAAGGGCATGACACTGTACCTTCTTTGGCTGTAAAGGCAGGGGGCTCTTGGAGGCATTGAAATTCAAGATGGGCTTCAACATGCTGACATTCCAGAAGAGGATGTCCCCATTGTAGGAAGAAGTGCCAAGGAACTGGTTCTGATACTTGGCCATGCACAAAACGTCCTCCGTGTGGTAAGTCTTCCAGTGGCAGCAGGAGAGTGCCATCTTGGTCCTGTGTAACCTGTGCACATGGCCAGAGGCAGGAGGGTCAAGAGCTCAAAAGCTTCAATACTCTTTGTGGGGAAACCACAGTCTTTAGGATTCAGAAGCCAACTCAGAGCAGCATTGTCTTGTGGGTCCAGAAGCTTGTTGAACGCACCCACTGATCTCATTTCCTAAGCACCCACTATGCATCAAATTGGGGTATACAACTGAGGAGTCTTAATTCATCCCCTGAGTAAAGCGTCTGGTTCAAACAAGGGCAAGTGACAGTTGTGACCAGACCCCTCTAACAGAAGGGACCTTGTACATGTTGGTCCTCCAAGAAAGTGTGTTACATCTCAAGTGCTTCCCTGATACCCCTCCCGCTCATATCTCATCCTGGGCCTCCTTGACTAAGCTGCTCTGGACCACTTCCTAACACTAAGGATTCTGCTCCTCCACAGAAAGCCTACTCTTTCCCCACAGCAGTCAATATATTTTATAAATCAAACTATCCCATTATTTAATAGAGACTGGGTGTTTGTATGTACTTAAAACTCATATGTTAAGCCAGGTGGTGGTGGTACATGTCTTTAATCCCAGCACTCGGGAGGCAGGGATCCACCTGCCTCTGCCTACACACCTACACAGAAAAACCTACACAGAAAAACCCTGTCTCAAGAAATAAAAAAAAAAAAACCTCATATGTTAGAATCTAATCCTCAAGGAGGGAGTGGACCTTGGGGAGGACATCTGGTCATGAAGACAGAAGCCTTGTTAATGGTATGATAAGGAGATCAAAGAGATCCTCCACCCTTCCCAAGACTACAGCAAGATGATGACCCTTTATAAATAAGAAAAAGACCCCCCACAAGACTCCAGAATGCTTTGGCCTAGGACCTTTCAGCCTGTATAAGTGCAAGAAATAAATCTCTATTGTTTGCATGTCACCTACTCTGTGGCATTATGCTGAAGCAGCTTACTCGGCTAAGGTAGAAGCTACAGAGAGAATTAGGTGCTGCTGGAACACATAACTAAAACTATGCAGGTGACTTTGGAGGTGGCAGATGAACAGAGGTCAAGAGAATTCTAAAGCACATTCCAGGAAAAGCCTACAGCACCATGTCTGGCCATCAAGGATGGCTTCAGAGAGGGCATAGAAAAGGGGAGAGCTGTAGAGAAAGCCATGCTGGGGATGTAGCTCAGTTGACACCGCACTGGCCTAGCATCTGTGAAGCCCTGAGTTTGAACCCAAGCACTGAATAAACTAGGTGTGGTGGTGACGGCGGTAATCCCACCACTAGAGAAGTGAAGTCAGGAAGATCAGAACTCCAAAATCATCTACATAGAGAGCTCAAAGCCAGCCTGGGATACAGGAGAGGGAGGGAGGGAGGGAGGGTTGGAAGGAGGGAGGGCTGGAAGGAGGGAGGGCTGGAAGGAGGGAGGGCTATGCACTACTGAGTTACCCTCCCAGCTTCATCGATTTAAAGATGACATAAGCGATCCTAAATTACAATATGGATGATAATGACCATTACAATATCTCAAGTAGAAGTGAGGAACATGCTACTGGAAACTGGAGGCATAGCCATCATGGGTACACAGTGACAGAGAACTTGGCTGGATTGTGTTCACATTCTAGTGCTGTGTGGCAAGTAGGGCTTGCAAGCCATGAGACTGGGTATTTATTAGGCTGAGGAAATTTCTAAGAAAGATATTCCAAGGTGTAGACAGTTCTCTCCTGTTTAAAGTAAAATTCTAGAAGAGATGAATAATTTTAAAACAGAATTGTTGAGCGAAGGATAAGAAAGCCTGGGGTTGCTGCTCAATGGCAGAGCATTAGCCTAGCACATATGAGGCCATGGTTCAGTTCATAGTACCAAAAAAGGATGGGGGACACAACTTAAGGTTTGAGACCTCCTCTTCTCAGCCCTTATCTACTGAAAGGAAAGATGAGCCTGCAGGGGTGTGGTTCAGACTGTGAGAACACTGTGGGTCAGTCGCTTGGCAGAAGCTGTGTGCTATGCTCTAAGACAATGGAAAAAAGACTCTAAGAGCAACTCAGGCATTTGAACTGTCCTTCCTGTTGCAAAAGGGTTTCAGAAAAGAGACCACCAATACAAGTTAGACTTCAGCACACCCTTGCCTTCAACACCTCACTTCATAGTCTCTCATCTCACACTCCGGTATCATGTTCTTTAGCCATGCCCGGCATGGTTCCTGAGGGTGAGAGTATAATACAAGCTATACCAACAGAGATAGGAAAGCTTGGCTACTTCCATCATCTACATTCCAGTAGGCAGAGCCATGTGTTCAGGACTACAGCCCCAAACAGCCACAGGATCCATGCAGGGAATAGAACCAGAACAGGGGCATAACCTGGATCCAAGGCCACCAAGAGGACATAGCATTCCAAAGCCATGGAAACAGATTATCTAGAGGTTTACATATTCAGCCCCTGCAAAACAGGACCTCCATCTCAGGAGCCTTGGAGGCAGAGCAGCAAAAAAAGAGGATTAGTTTTGTGTCTTAAGATGACTCAATGGATAAAGGTGCTTGCTATCAATCATGATGACCTGAGTTCAATCCCTGGAACCCACATGGTAGAAGTAACAAACTGACTCACCCACAAGTTGTCCTCTGCCTATATGCCATGGCACACATAACAGATTGACAGATGGTTGAATGATAGACACAAAATTTGCTCCAATGAGTTTTAGACTCACTTGGGATCTGCTGCTCATTTCTTTCCCCCACCCCTCCACCCCTGTCTCCACTCATCTGTCCTGTACCCATCTCACTGTTGGACTTTGGAAGTTCATAACAAGTCCATCACGTGTTTAGAGCCAAGGGAGAATTTGCCTCAGGATAAGTGGTACACTGGGTCTCATATTTAGACGATACTTTGGACATAGACATTTCAAGTGATGCTAACCAAATGATACCCTCAGTACCACCCTCCACTCCAACCACTAGTTGGTGGACTTGTCCCTCCTCCTTAGCTCTGTTTCTTGGGAAAGTCTCAGTTCTGAGATAATTGCATAGCTCAGTCATTCCAGGGACTAGTGTGAGCATATTAGGAGGTCAAGCCTTTGGAAGGTGGTAAGGTCATGTGTGTGGAGCCCTCATCAGTGGGATTATAGCCCTCAACCCTTCTGTCAGGTAAGTTCACAGGAAGGAAAGAGCTTTCTAGGAACCAGGAAGCAGGCCTTCACTAGAAACCAAACTTGCGAGTGCCTTGGGCTGAGAATACCCAGCCTCCAGGACAATAGGGAGTAAATCCCTGTGCCTTGTAAGCTACCAGTCAATGGCATCTTGTTATAAGAGACTGAAGTAATTTCTCCATGGAATGAGAAGCTGATGGGGACAAAGACTGTCACTTTTGCCATGGCCATCACCAGCAGAAGGCACCTCACTACATGCTACATGAATGGATAGGAGGATGCAGGAGTGAAGCAATGGCTGGTGGCTTCCACAGGTGCCCTGCTCGCTATTGCAGCTGCTGAGAAAGCTCAGAATGAGGAAAGCTCAAAATAAAGGAGACCCCAGCAGCCCACGCCTCCCACTCACACTTCTGCTCACCTGAAATTGGTGATCCTCTTACTCCACCCTGTTGCATAGTACCCTTTGTTCATGTGAACAATTCCACTAATCTGTTGGAGACAAAGAAAACAGAGCACTAGACTCCTTGGAGCATACCTTTGGGCCCTTGATGCTTTCCTAAATGCACCCACCAGAAAGTCAAAACTCAGTGAAGGTGAGAATTCCCAGAGTCAATGCCACCATCAAGCTTTTAGAGTGCCTACTAATTACCTAACTGAAGGGAGCTAGAGACCATCTAACCTGGTGTATCTGAAAGAGGCAGATAATGTGGGTACCCATGTTCATTTTACAGAAGAGATAACTGGGCAACATGTGACCCAGCTAAGGCCCAATAACTGCTGAGAGATCCAGGCCAAGGGAAAGGCTCCCTCACTGGGAGCTCACCCATTAGGCTAGTCTGGTAGGATAGTAAACCGGAGGGCCCTGCCTGTCTCCACCTCCCCAGTGTTGGGATTAGAAGCCCGTGCCACCACACCCAACTTTCTATATGGATGCTGGAGATCAAACTCTTCTCCTGATGTGTTCTCTCTCTGGCACCCTCCCCTCCAGCTTCTTGACCAAGTGTTCTTTCTGCCCAGGTTAAAGGAAGGGGGCTCAAGTCCCAAAGTGGCACTTACAGCTGACTCCACTAGAGCCCTACTTTCTGTCTCAGGCTGTCCAAATGTCCAGAAATGAGTGGTTATCTAAAATCCAGAATTCTTCAGGAACTTGCGAAACCATTGCCCATCTTCCAAAAGTCATTTCCCTCACCTCTGGCAGAGGGGATATATGGCTACCTGTGGTGCCTATCAGCACACCAAAGCCCACGCTACCTCCAGGCTCCCTCAGTACCACAAGCACCTGTTTCAAAGTCCATATTTGCATCGTAGCCCTTCTCACTTCCCCAGGCTTCCCTCTGCCCCCACCATTCTCACTACATTCTCCTTCTCTTACTCACTCTCTCCTATTCTCTTGCTATGCTCGGTGCTCTGTCTCCACCACTCTCTCCCACTTCCCTAACCCTGGCCATGTCCAGTCTGCTTCCTTCTCTCACTGCTCTGGACTCCTCCAGATGCCACTGGCTCCCTCTCTCTCTCTCTCTCTCTCTCTCTCTCTCTCTCTCTCTCTGTCTCTCACTCCTCTCTTGTCTCTCTCTCTCTATTTTT